GAGGTGACATTTGCTGTTGGTTGCTATCCTTTCATTATTTCTGTAAGGAAATTCCTCCTTATTTCCAGGTTGAATCTCTCCTTGTTCAGTGTCCATCCATTCTTCCTTGTCTGGCCTTCAGGTGCCTTGGAAAACAGCTTGACCCCCCCACCCTCCTCTCTGTGGCAGCCCCCCAAATATTGGAAGACTGCTCTTATGTCTCCCCTGGTCCTTCTCTTATTTAGATAGTCCTCAACTTACAATCACAAGGTGGGTGGGGAGCAGAATTTCTGGCAGTGTGATGAACAGTATTTTGCTCAACAATGTTGGCCAAAAAAAGTCAAAACCCAGGCAGGACTCACTTAAAAAAAACCTCCTTGTTTAGCAACGAAAATTCTCATTCCCGTTGTGTAAATCAAGGACTATATTGTAATATCAAGATGATTGGGAAAACGCCTGCCAGGATATGGCAGCTGGCATCCAGTGTCCATATAGATGAGGAGTCTTGAAAGTTTAAATCCCACCAAAGGGGAAGAACCAACTGGGGGATCCGATTGACATCCGTAGGAGCAAAAACCCCAAATTCGAAGCCTTCTTGCAACTCCCATTGTTTCCCTCCCTCCTTCCTACGCTTTGCATTTACCTCTGCTTGATCAAATCTTCCACGTCTTTGCACATTTTCCTTCCATCCAGCAAACGCTGCAGGAGCGCTTCGTACCCGGAATGAAGAGTGAATTCTTTGCACTAGGGGGAAGAAAACAAAAAAAGAACAATGGAAGATCCATCAGCTCTCACCATTCTACCGCCTTCTCCTTGTTTGAGATGAGCAGAATCATCCCTCAGAGACCCTCTTAGTCACTGCTGACCCCCTCTGATCAATGCCAAGGGACAGAAGATCCTGCCTGTGTCCTCCAAACCCAGATCATCCGAGCACGATTTCCCCAACTCCCTAGTTTCCAACTTTGGATGTAAACCTATCGACAGTGCAAACAATCAATTCAATTCCAAGTAGATTAAAGCTCATGAGCCAAGATCCAGAGAATTCCCTTAATGCAACCTACTGTGGTCCCTGGTGTCTCCAGAGTTCTCAACGTTGGTACCTTTAAGATGGGTGGACTACAACTCCCAGAATTCCCCATCCAAATATTTCCTAGCCGCCATTCCAAGAGAAACACCGGATCAAAGGAAATCAAGAATCAGCCTGATTTTGCCAAGAAGCACGAAAAGAATAGCAATAGCAATAGCAGTTAGACTTATATACCGCTTCATAGGGCTTTCAGCCCTCTCTAAGCGGTTTACAGAGTCAGCATATCGCCC